CCAACATTCTAATGCTGAGCCACACCTGCAAGGGCTCCTGTTACCATAAATTGTATTTATGTGCTTGCTCCCCTCTGCTTTTAAATGGTACCAGTGAAACCAGTAACCCTGTGCCCTCCCTTCCCATTTGCCACTCCCTAGCTTAGATTGATGTAGTTTTAGTTATCCCTGTAATGTGACATTTTTAAGTCGTGGTATACTGCATTTGTCTGTCACTAGTTGGGCATGTGCCAATACTATTCTGTCCATTTCTTAACTGCCATCTCTGTTCTGCCTGATTTTTTTCCCCTCTTCAACTGAATTACGGCTTTTTGCATGAAAAAAAAAGTTTTTACTATTAGACATGTAAAGGGAAGAGAGAGAATGTATTGAGTTTTGTAAGCCTAAAAGGAGTAGTTGGATTTATCTACGAAATAAGGGCTACGTACTATATAATAGAGTAATCATATGGTGGAAGATACTTGCAGGTCATAGGTTTGTAGGCAGAAAGATCTGTTACTCCCTGTATCTAGGCTGAATGTAAAATCCCTTATATTGTATTATTGGGGATAATCACTATTTTTATTTGCCTATGATATACTTGGTTTCTAATAAATTGTCCTAGGCTCTAGTGAGAACTGTCTACTTTTAGTTGCCAATCACTCCCTTTCCTTACTTAGCTGATATACTCTTGGCTAGCTTTTTATAGGTTGATGCTTTTTCCTGAAATATCTCACCACTGTAAATGTGTTAATTTGGGTGTGATCCTAAAAAGCCTGGATCGAGAGCATATCTAATATGCAACCTGCATCAGCTCCTACTCCATCTGGATGTCTAGAACTTTTGGAAGATTTTGACATCTTAAATCCTGGGTTTTGCTTTTGAAATAAGGTTTGAAATATTGTTCATTGCATAAGATTTGTGTGTTTTTGCTTTGTAAGCCCAGCAGGTTTTGGGAAATGCCTGTATTGTGAAAGCAAATCTGAACTCTTTCTGAGCCTCTTTTATTGTGAGAAGTAGAATTGCTTTTCATCAGCCTCCAGAAAATTGTGTACCTGGAGTTGAGATTTAACAGCAAGAATCCAGATTTTTAAATGTAATTGTTTTTTAACTGCTAATGTTTGTAAAGCACCTTCAGTTCTTTGGATGAAGAGTGCTATATTCTCTCAGTGTAAATTAATAAAAATATTATAGGAAGTTTGTCAAAAAATTTTAATGCATAGTTTGTAGTATGTCCCAATAAGTTAGCATTTTATATAACACAATTTAAATTAAAAATGCTTATTCCTCCACTTAGTTGCTTGACTAGTAAACAGAAGTGAAACTTTCTTGTTCCATATTTGACTCTGAGCTAAGTGTTCCATTCTTTAAAGGCATTATCCACTGTTATGCCCTGGGTCTGGTGGCCAGAACCATGCTTCATGAGATTGTCACAACTTTCAATTGTATATTTACAGTGTGCGGTCATGCTTAGAAAATAGACAGTAATAAAACACCAAAAAGAAGCATTTGGAAAGTCCCCTAGTATTAGGCCAAACAGTCGATGCTTGGGGAAGGTTGGTTCCTTAGTTCCCTCTTACTAGTTTTCTCTTTTCCTTGTCAATCAGTTGATGAATATTTGTCTTTCTTACCCTCATGAGAGCATGCTTATGCTGTCGTAGGTCATTCAGATATTTTCTTGACTCAAAAATGCATGAAATTTATGAAGATTTTTTGTCAACAAAAATACTTATTGCATAAGTATATTCCACTTAACCCCTTGGCACCCACTGTTCTAAGCAGTCTGCTTTTATGTGTAATTGGGAATAGGATAGAAAAGACTGCATGGAGGCATTATGGAATGGTGGGAAGAGTATAGTCTTTGTGATCAAATCTAGATAAAAACCCCAGCCATGCCAGGCAGCTAACCTGTATTGAGCACACTTAGCTAAATGCTGTGGTGCTCTATTTTGTGGTACCCTTACTATGGCTCTATGACTATATTACTTTTTTTCCTTTGGATGAGGAATCAGGCTTAAGGAGGATAGGTAACTCCTGTAGGGTATACCAGAGTACATCTTAAGCCCCCTTACAGCAATTTTAAGTAGATTGGTTATAGCTATGTGACCCTGAGCAAGTTGGATTTTCTGAACCTTGAAATTCTGTGTCTAAAATGAGAGAATACCATACAGGCTTGATAACAGGATTAAAAATAGCACTCATAAAGCTCCCAGTCCTTGGCCCAAAGCTACTATTTATTGAGTATGTACTGATACACCATTTGCCCAAAATCAATGTCGTTGCTAAGTAAGAATAACCCAAGGCAATATGTAATTGCTGACATAGTAAATCTTACGTTAGTACAACAAATTTGGAGAAGGAAATATTGGCTGTAGGATGCAGTAATTAGGAAAGGCTTAAAAGAGGAAGTATGAAATGTGGACTGGAATGGGATGTGCATTTCTTATATAGTAAAAGCACAAAAGCAGAAATTACTAGAACTTGGTCATGACGCAGTTTACTATCATTTCATAGAAGGAAGGTCATTTTTTTAAAAAAAATTTATTGACTTTACAGAGAGGAAGGGAGAGGAATAGAGAGTCAGAAACATCGATCAGAGAAAAACATCGATCAGCTGCCTCCTGCACACTCCCCACTGGGGATGTGCCCGCAACCAAGGTACATGCCCCTGATCGGAATCGAACCCAGGACCCCTCAGTCCGCAGGCTGACGCTCTATCCACTGAGCCAAACTGGTTAGGGCAGGAAGGTCATTTTTTAACATCAAATGTAAAAAGCCATTTCTGCATAAATGCAGCCACAAATTTGGTTTTGCGAAAACCTGTAGTGCCCTTGTTTGCCATTTGTGAAGATCAGTGAGAGACTTGCTTTCAACCTGTTGGTGCGTACTAGTCCAGGCTATCTCATTGATGCATAAAAGTGTGTTCTAGTAAAATGGAAGTAGTTGAAGAGAAAGTTTTATGCCTCCTCCCAGCTTCAATTGGTAGATACCAAGGATCTACCAAACAGAAAGGGTACACAATGAATTTAGAGAGGCTGTAGGGGATACCACCTTCACAGAAGAATTTTATATGTTAAATGAACTATGTCTTATTTTCAAGGATGGCCTTGTTAAAGGTAACGTGCTTATGTGCTAGTTAGTAACAAAAAGTGCAGTGAATTTTATTTTGATTAACTGGTGTAGAACTTAAAATCATTTGGTATCACAGGATGGTTAGCATACACAGAGGGATCTATTTAGGCCTTTCAAAATGGAACACATTGCTTTTAGTTATGGCATCAATTGTTTGCAGCATTGCTCTTTCGTGGCAATTAAAAAGAATGCACACAACTCTTGCTCTCTTGGAAGTCCACGCCCAAGCTTGTGATCTTTTCTGCTGAGGATTGAGCATCTAAACCATGCTTTATATGGTAGCTTATGTTTTCTGGCTGGATACCCTCTATGAAGGGTATCTGGGAGCTGTGAGAAGATTTCATTCAGCATGATACAGAGCAGTGATTTTCAACCTTTTTCATCTCATGGCACACTAATTGCTAAAATTAAGCAGCACACCAAAAAGTATATTTTTTGTCGATCTAACAAAAAATAGGTATAATTTTGATTCATTCATACTGGATGGCTATTGTTGTGTTGGCTGTTATCATTTTTTAAATTTGACAATCTAAGGGAAAAGAGGTCAGTGTCCCTGACAAGTCAGGTATTGCATGTTGTAAAAATTCTCTTGACACACCGGTTGAAAATCGCTGATGTAGAGACCGGCACTGTATACAGGGTAGTTCAAAATGAAGCTCGTTTTGGAGAGTTGCCTCACTGTCGCATCGGCCAGAGGAGTTTGGGAAATTGCAGTGCTTGGCTTTGAGTCCTGGCATGGTGCAGTGTTGGGGGGCGCCAGCAGGTGTGTGGGATGCAGGACACACAGTGAGCAGAACCTGCCTGCAGGTGTCTGGGGCCGAAGGTGCAGTTTCCACTTTCCGACGCACGGTGGCGCTCAGTCTCCCCTGCCCTGCTAGTGGTCTCTAAGGCACCTCCACCGCCACCTGCAGTCTCAACCAAACTCTAGGTGGCGGGATGTGACGGCCCGAGCGTCCAATCGACCACCAGGATTTCGGACGTGCTACGGTTCTAGCCAATGGGAGCCGAGGAGAGGCGCAGAGGAGGCGGGCCCCGCGGCAGTCTGGCC